GTGCTGAACGAGGCTGAGTTTCACCTTTTCCAGTTTCGAGTCCAGTTGCAGTTGCCAGCTGACCCTTGCTGTCTCACCAAATGAATAGACCCCTTTTTCTGTCCATATCTCGCCATTTATTGGTTTACATTTTCTGAAAAGCGCCCACTTAATGGCTTCACTAACCAAACTAGATATCAAGTCAGAGCTTACTTGTGGTTCCATCCTCCATGATTCACGCATTTGTTGATAATGAGCCGCTTCTGATAGCAGCTCATGTGCGGCATTTTTAAGACCAGCCGTCGGGCAACAGTGAATATCCTTTCCACGTGACTGTTTTGAAACCATGGATCTACAGTAGCTCTTACAGAATATTCCACTTGAAAGTCTTTCTGAAGCTTGATTGATGGTGGGAATCGTGGCAGCCAGGCTTCCACCGCGACTTGGTGTGTTTTGGATTCTGAAATCACAGCGTAGACAAAAGAGGAAGCAAACGTTCAGCTTATGTAGCCTACCTGACGGTTGAATAAGGATCCAAACTTGTTCGTGGAGAAATTCATAGAGTAAAGTGTTCCCGTTGCGGACGTAACCTCGAAATACTACCTGAGCGGAGTGAGCCAGATTACTGTCGTTGACGATTTCCACGTCGGCTTTGAGCTCGTTCGCCTCCGAGCTGACGAACACATCTTGAACATCTAATGAGGTGATTCGAGCATGAGATTCGCTAGCGGTCATTGACAATGGCGGCTCGGTTGCCATCCGAGCCTCCTTCACCTTTCAATTATTGATGCCCCGTTAAAGCCGCACGATGGCACCTGCCGCCTACGCCTGTCATATCTGCGTTTTTCAAAACCAAATTCAAACGCTCTTCTTTCAGGCCACCAATCCTGGTTCGTTCGAACCACCCGAGAGCGATGTGCAGTGGTATCGCAACGGCGGAACACTGGTCTGCCATGGTCCAGTCGCAATCGGTACCGATCGCACGGCTGCGAAGCTCACAGTTGATGGTGATATTTACATCACCGGACAGGTAAGCGCGACAGGACCAACTACCATAATGGTCGTCTAATTAATCGATTGTCCTGTTTAGATGACCCGTCCGTGCGATATTCGCCTGAAAGAGGACATCGTTGAGAAGACGTCACGAGATGCACTCGAACATTTGCAACAACTGCGTATCGTCGATTTCCGTTACAAGCCCGAAATTGCGGAACTCTGGGGTCTCACTGAGGAGCAGCGTAGACGAACCGGCCTCATCGCTCAAGAGCTGCAAGCTGTAGGTGTCACTCGATGATCCACTCAAGTAGCTCTAAGTAACTAAATATTGAGTAATGCAGGTGATTCCCGATGCGGTTCGCGATATCGGTACGCACTTGACTGTTGACGAGTCGCGAATCTTCTACGAGACTGTGCTGGCGATGCAGGAGCTGTGCAGGCTTACTGGAGACCTTGACACCAAAATCGATGACAAGGTAAGTAGGAACGTCCCAGTATGCAGTACCGGCTCTTGATCATCCCCCAAACGGAGATTGTCCTTTTAAGGTCGAGGAAATTAGTCAACGTCTCGCGCGATACGCCAGAAGGAAGAAGCTGATCGGTTCGATTGCTTCGAACCTCAGCGAGCAGTCTTCTGGAATTGTCAGTGACAACAAGAGCTACTTGTCATATTCAAGGACATCGCTTGGCATCCACTGCTCCATCAGTAGCCAAAGAGGGACGTGAAAGACGAAAGGTAATTGTTTCCAGATCTTCAATCCATCTCTCTACTTAACAATATATTTTTCAGAATCGCACCTGCCGTACCCAATGCCATCGTCAGGAACCGCTCTGCAACTCGAAACTAACCCAAGGGACCATCATTACTTTGGTGGTGGTCAATGGCTGCTTGTCTGATCGCAATGTCGGCTTTGTACGTTTTGGACTGGCACAATCGTAACTACGGATATCATCATTTCTACCCGTTGAACGCCACACCACCCACGAAACCAGGAGGATCAACTGAGGGCGTCGGACACATGATATACCAAATCGGTATGATTACCATCACTTTTTCCTGGTCTGCCACTGCAGGCAATTCTGCAGGGCTTTCCATCAGGGTGAACAACGGTCGAGGAAATCCTTGGCCTTGCGGAAGTGAATGTGCGCGCGGAGAGCACAGACGGCTCGCGCGTGGCGAGAGTGAATGTCCGCGCGGGAGAGCGTGACTGATCAGGCGAAAATCCTCGACGTGCCGTTGAGGAATCCTCGACCGATATTCACCCTGCTCTCCCTCCTTTTATACTCATATTTAATAGTTAACTGTTATTTAGATCATCCGTACCTTCCGATGCTTCAACCAGATGCACCGCCGTTAATGGCCACGTGTCGCTCGAATCATTGTCACACCTACTGTTGCGCTGATCGGGCCAAGTATCACACTGGAAATCAAGTAAATGATGTAAGTACATTGAGCTAAGGATCGTTCTGAAGGGCTTATGAATATCGTCGTTGATTCAGATGGACACGATCGTGACGTTGGGCGAGCACACGAAGAACATGATAGCGCGTAGTGCACCGGATATTTCCACTGGGAAACCGCTTGGCACCGGCGTACGGATCATGATTCTCAGCTTGAACGTCACCATTGACAATCGTTACTGTATTGAGCAAAGCTGTAATAAGAAACGTGGCCGATTCAACATGTACATTCCGGTGTCACCGTATCTGCCAACGCTCCCATTGGAAATCACCTTTGCGTAAGTTTCCTTAGCTCATCTCGACTTTTTAACGCCTACTTCTTGAGCGACCAAAATTCCATATTTTTGCAGGGTCCCGAAAGGAAAACTCGTGAACAACTGCGGATATCTGGCCGATTTCCAGCACAAGTATTGTGCATTTGACAGTGACAATTTCAAAGCCGAACGTCTAAGGAATCCTATGGCTAACCAGGTATTGATTGAGGAAGATCAAGATCGCGGGGCTACTGTCAACCAAATGATGAGAGTGTAGATGGAAAAACATCTAAGAAAGCAGAGATGCTGTAATAGTGTACATGTGTGAGAGCTCCCAGACAGCACTACAAAACGCTGAGTAGCCTAGCCCCATGGTTGACAGTAGTCCTGAGACCGAAGATCAAGATTTGCTGTGATTGTACCCTTTAACAACCTGATCCCTGTTACTTGCAGATCACGGACGACACATTCGAGTTGTCGGTGGGCAGTTATTTGCAGTCGGCCTACCGTTTCCGCGTTGGATTTACAACGGAATCATGCTTTTCAAGCGAAGATCACCTTCATGGTGGTTTTGAAGAGTACAATCTGATCTTTTATCGTACATGTGCACCGCCAGCCAGTGTAACCGATGCGCCATCGGTTTGAAGGGGTGACGCGATTGGGGTTTCCCTCGCTTTTTTGCAATACAAATTCTACCAGTTTTGTAGAACTCTTTGCGTTTTTTGTAAGTGAACTGGAGACAGGCGGCTCATTCGTCTTCTCTTCTCCTTATTACTGGTTCTATGTACCGATGCGATGCTATGAGCCAAATTCTCCGTTCGTATGTGATATTCTAGTTACCGCTTCTGATAAGTTCTTTGTTATTGTTGTCTCGGGATCCTCTACGAGTTCACCCACTATAATATGAAGCCCCCCGTTTACTTGTAATAACTGCTAAAAGTGAAACTGCTAATGTACTACTGTGTTGTAAACAGTGCACTTCATTTCTCGCTCTATCCACTTTTTCTGCCCTTCTGCATCTTCTTTCTGTTGTCTACTTGCACTTTTAAACGACCTCTTGATTACCTGTACCTCTTCAGGACACCATATATGCTGCGCGTAAAATCCAGTAAGCCTTCATCTTTTCCTATTATGGCACATGCTTTCATCGAGCAGTTTTCGTGTTTTGAACCGGCCCATGACTGCCGTGATCGAGCCCGCCTCGTTTGTACGTAAAACATTGTCGTTTCCTCGATTTCTGACACTACACCTAGTGCACCGCGGAGCGCAGACGACGAGAGTGCGAACTATAAACGCGGAAGATGCTCACACTGCGGCACACTTTTACATTTGTAAGAAATCGAAGAAACAGCCATCATTCTGTTGCACGTTCCTTTACTACTATTACTGCTACTATTCCTGGTCCTTAGAACTAAAAGCGAATGAGCACCCCAGGCCGGCGAGGAAAAGGGTGCAATTTTGTGTATAAACGAAAATTGCCCAAAAAATTTCTCTCTGTGTGTTTTCTATGTGTTTCTTCGTTTTTTTTTAATTGTTTATACGTGTATGTGACGTTCTCAGACGACATCATGTTCTATTTATTATACCAGTATCTTCAATGCGTTGTATTCATTTTCCTCCAGTCATCACCACTTCTCTCACATTGTATCATCCTTTCAAAAAATACAAGCTCCTGTACTTTTTCACGAGCACTAAATTCCTTTCAACTACTATTTTCATCATCGTTTGTACACAAATATGGTCGGATTTTGTCATTTTATGCAGGAATTTTGTTTTCTCACCATAATTATTATTATAGCATTGTTTTAATCCATATTATTAATAATAAAATATACAGTGTCAAGTGAGTGAGCTGTTGTTAACCGGGTAATATCGTATACAATGATGACATAGATTCGATGATTTGCCGATCGGTTTTGCATACGGTAATGAAGTCCTCTTTCGAAATTCGTCCCCGTTTGCCGATATCGAATTTCTGAAAGCAACTAGATCTAAAACCAATCAATGTTCCATGTATAAAATAGAGAATGTAACGAATGTGCTAAAAAAAGGCGACATCCTTGTTGATTGATGATGAACAAATGCGCTCACACATGCGGGACGGATTCGGGGTAGAAGATATGTTGAAGACGGTAGGCCCCTACCTCATTTCTAGCGGTAGTACTGTAGCTGAATTGCTCCGGAAATATTCTGTCGAGCAGGGAGAAAGCAGGATCGGATTTTATTAATTTTCAAAAGTTTCCGCCAAGTTTCCGTAAACCAAGTAGACTTTTTTAATATTGCAGGAAATTTTCGAAAAGAGTGCTGGAGCCTTTCCGAAGAATAATTCAGACTTAGCTAAGCTCTATTCCTACCTTTTCTGGGATATACCTCCAATTTTACCAAGCCCCTCCCGCTCGTAAAGGCACAACCCAAGCAGAGGTCGCGTGAACGATTCCTTTCGTTCTGCAGGATAGAGATACCAAGAGGACAATCACAGATGTGGCACTCCCGTGCATGGAAATCATTCAACAAGGGCGCTAGAGGCCTTGCAAAGCTAGCTGCAGCAGCTTCACATTCCCCATACGCAGCGGGCTGTTGTCTGGCGTCCCCTCATCTCTTGCGCTCTCATCTCACACTGTGCACTCAGTCACTCTTCCCGTACCTCAGCCGCATTACGAACATGGGCAAGCCTTGAAGGACGAATTCACGCTGAAAAAGCAACCCATTTCAAATTAAGTTAGGATGGTGAGTGGTACACGAAAGAAGGAAAAACCATGAAAACGGCCCAGAACCCGAGAAATGGGACCCCTTCCTTGCCCGTTGATTTGCGCATTGATGCGACTCTCATCGCTGTGCCCTCTTCAACACTACGCTCTCTCTGCTATCTAATCACTCGCCACGTATAGACCTGCGGCGAGTGATCAGATGATCGGTGGGCGTGCACTGGCCACCGCGCCAAGATTGAGCCTTAATAGGTCGCCGAGGTCAACTCCTTTGGTGCCAATTGCGCTTCAGTCCGCACCCTTAGGAGGTCCGCGGGTCCCTCAACTAGGTGATTACTCCTTCTTCAATTTTCATGAGCTTGAGCCATGCTGGAGCGCCGAGGTCAAATCTTTCGCTGCCAATTGCGCGTCGGTCAGCACCCTCAGGAGGTCCGCCTGTCTCCCAACTATGGCAATTTCCCCCTTCTTTGACCTTCGTTCTTATCGTGAATTCCTCCTTTAATTGAGTGCTTTCGACATATTCTTGGCCTGTTTTCTTTACTGTTGGCCCATTCTGCACCGATATTTTCGTATTCCATGTGCAAGAACAACACCAGTTTGATTTTGAGGTACGCCTTCAGAAATACTTGACGATGGCTCGCCAGAATGGATGTGCCTAATTGGAATTGCAAAAATTAGAAAACAACCCCAGATCACTCTACTTAAAGACAAGCCCTGAGCTGAAATTGGTGTATAAGGGCGCTTTGCAGTAATGGTTGAACTGCGAAGCAAACTGAACGTGGAAAAGAATGCAAGCGTGGCCATCAAAAACGCTGAAATTATGGGCCTAAACGTCGAAAAAATAAAGTAAGGCCGTATGTGGTACGATGGAGAGACAATTCGACTAAAGAAGGCAAAACACGCGAGAGAGCACGCAGTGTGAGAGGGCGCGCAGCTTTCTACGTCAGTCGCGGTGGGTGGAGAGAGTTGCGATGGTTGCGATTCCTTAAAAATTAGCGTCCTTACTGCGTATTTCAGGTAACGAAGCTGGTATAACCCCTGCAGGTGTCGACCCAACGAGTTCACTCATGGTGCAGTTCCTACTAGTGAGCCTGATCCTGGGGCTTGCTTTTAAGATGATCGCGGGGACACGCGGGTAACACACACGACACACTTAGACGTTCCTGAGATCACTCCTGTCTTTCATTGACCTTTTATGATATTCAAAAGTCTCACAAGAATCCT